TAAAAGTTTTTGTACATTTTCTTGGTGGACTCTCTCTCTCTCTCTCTCTCTCTCTCTCTCTCTATATATATATATATATATATATATATATATATATATATTATATATATATATATATATATATATATATTGGTCGAATTGAATTGATTACGATTCCCATGTAATAGATTATAACCATGGAATATTAGTGTTTGAGCCTTTTATATTATATTCTTGGTCTGTACTGTACATTGAGATTTACTTTGATTTTATCCCTTGAAATATATATATATATATATATATATATATATATATATATATATATATATATATATATATATATGATTAGCATAAGGGATTGTTGATATGCACTAAATTCAATCTGTTTCAACAAATCAAAAAAAAAAAAACAAATAACAACAAATTTCTTCGAAAAGAATAATTTTGAAAAATAATGAACCAGACTGATATATATATATATATATATATATATATATATATATATATATATATATATATGTGTGTGTGTGTGTGTGTGTGTATGTATGTATGTATGTATGTGTATATCTATCTATCTATCTATATATATATATATATATATATATATATATATATATATATATATATAGGTGCGATTAAATGTCGCCATATTATATATTTCAATTTTGTCGATTGCACTCTAAGGAGGTTCAGTCGGACAACGTCTGTGAGAAAAAAAAAATCACAATGACGTAATTCACTTCGTCAGAAAATTGAAAATATTCTGCTGCTTGGCATTTAGAACATTTCAGAGTTTTTGGGGTTTTAATCAGTGCAGAGGATTCGGAAGGAGTTGAATAAGTTTAACAATGATTACAAAAGTACGGCATCTCGGAAAACTAACTCTGATCGAAATAGAACTCCCGAATTTGTTACCGTGGACCTCAGATTCAACATCGAGGCCTATATCAGGTATCTTGAGGAAGTAGTGCTGCTCTAGGTCAAGTGTGTGGCTGCTTGAAGACTCTATGTCAGGCAACAAGTCTCAGCACCTTGTCACAAGACCAAGAGAACCTAGTCATGTCTGTCAGACAATTTTCTAACCTCTAAAGATATACTGAGGCAAGGATTTGGGAGGAGACCGTCCAAAAGACAAGAGATTCGGAAGTTGTCTGGAGGCCGTGGTTGGAGCCAATGGCGATTTTATTGAATAAATTTACTCTTTTCGTGTAATTTTGGTAAATATATCTGTTAGAATGAGATGTCATTGTTATTTTTCATGACTGGGTAATATAGACGACAATTTATCCATCGCACCCCGTATGTATGTTTATTTATGTTCATTTATAGCGTGTAAATTTGCCTGCATGGCGCTCTACGTATATTGACTTGTATGAAGAATGATTGCATATCAATTGTCAATGAACTATTAACGCGTTTAACCTCCAATCAAACCTATGATTACCTATAAAACGACTTGGATCTTTAAAAAAATATATATCAACCGTTTTAATTCATTCTGATGATTACACCGAGATCGTCTATGACCTCTTAAACAAGTAAGTGAAAACTCGTTCCTGTGATTATATGTGTATGAGAAAATTATTTTCAAAACGTCTATTAACGATTCGCCATATGCTATACATAATAATTTATATAATTTTGAGCCTGGTATATTAGATGGTGGCAGCTTAGGATTACCAGGTGCTGTAACGGAAAACGACTCTGAATTGAGCATTGGAGAACCGACTTCCAATTTCAACTCGAGTTCGTTCTCGATAATCTTGGGAAAGATATCAATCTTCTTCTCCTCTCTTGTATCGGTAAATCATTATTACCGGTAAAAAATTCTCAAAATATTTTCTCTAATATTTTCTGTGATTTTCGTAATTGTCTTGCTATACGTTAAATTATATAATTTTATATATATATTAATATATATATATATATATATATATATATGTATGTGTGTGTATATATATATATATATATATATATATATATATGTGTGTGTGTGTGTGTGTTAATATCTATTAAACAAATGTGTCAATACATTCTATCAGTCTAATTACTGCACAAATAAAAAAATAAATCATTATTATCGGCAAAAAATTCTAAACATATTTTCTGGCTTTAAATATCTTGGAAAAGGTTGATAAACCGTAAAAACAAATAAATCAGTCCTAAAAAATATCCTATGGATTATAAAACAAATGCGTCCAAACATTCAGTTACTTTAATCATTGCAAAAGGATATTATATAAAACATCATTATATCACTCGGGATATCAGTGTGAGAAATTAACAAAAAAATTTTAAGCAATTTAATGGCAGAAACTTCGTTCGCCTTGCTATACGTTGAATTATTTAATTTAATAGGTGTTATTATTAAAGAGGAGGCACGGTAATGGATAGCGGGGTGGAATTCTACTCGGACACATTACATTCACTTTACCTTGGGAAAGGTATGAACCCTCTTCTTCTCCCCCAACTATGGGTAAATAGTATGACCTTGGGTGGCAACTGGTCTAGGAGACGGAAACACTGAATTCAAAATCAGGCCTGGAGAGGGTTGGTCTCCATCAGGCTATCTTGCCCAAAAAACACCAACAAACGGCTGTAGTACATGTGGTGCCCTTACGATCCTGATGGGGCACTATCGACTACACAATTATATATATATATATATATATATATATATATATATGAAAAAAATAGGGCAATACATCCTATCAAAGATAACAAATAAAACAAAAGAACACGATAATTTGTTCATTCATTCGGATGATTATGTCAATAACGATTACGATCTTTTCTAAAAATTCGTTGAAATTACAAAGATAACGGCTGTAAAACAAACATGATTGCATATATATATATATATATATATATATATATATATATATATATATATATATATATATATATATATACAGAAACACACACATTATTTACATTGTTCAGAATTGTTCTTTATTGTCATATTTCGGCCGTTGTACGCTCCAAACTTCTTCAGTCGATATACATTGGATTTCTTTGGAATTTCAAACCGAACTCTTTATTTAGTAGTCCACTGAGTTATATTGCTCTAGTTCCACGTGCCATGTCCTTTCTGGTTATCTCAATTTCAGTTAATTTCCTTTGGTAACTCATCTCTCTAAATTTTTGTTCACCTTTGCTGTGGCCTAGAACACAATACATAATGTTTTTTGTTTTTTTTGGAATTTTACTTTTTCAGGTGCGTTGTTATTTTTGAGGATGAGGTTAGTTAGTTTAAATTGTTTGTAATAGACAATTACTTTCAACAGCAAACCCTATCCTTAAAAATAACAACACACCTGCAAAATCAAAACTACAAAGAACCGACATTGTTTACGAGTTCAGGAACTGATCAAACCAAATTCATAAAATAATTACGTCGGTCACACTACTACATGTCTATCCAGACGACTTACGTTACACCTATCCAACTACAGCTTCATTTAAACATACATACAAACCTACCAGACTCCATCCGAAACATTCTAGTGGAAAATACCAGCGTAATAACCCCATCCACATGTAAAAAATATTAAAAATAATGGAAGCACTAATAAGAAAAAAGAAAAAAGCCAACACTTAATAACATTAACTAGGAACACGGCCACAGTGTGATGACCGTGTTTGGAAGATTAAACATCCCTATAATTCTAGATACATACACACAACACATACATTCAGTTAAAAAATAAAAATAAAATCATCCTTGATAATGGCTAATAATATAGCAGAAAGTGCTCGGAAATGTAGAACATTTGGACAGTTTTTACATACTTTGTCTCCAGAAAAGAAAATATTTGTTCAAACACAAGAAAAATTAAATTAAAAGCTTAACGAAACATGTATAAAAGAGTGATTGCTACTTAAATACGCAATATAAAAAATAAATAACAAATAATACAAAATGAAAATGAAAAACAAATAAAATAAATTAACCCACACAAAGAAATAAAGAAACAAAAAAGCCACTCCCAAAAAATAACCGCCAGAATAGATTACTCACAATGCACCACTGACCGATATATATAAATAGTCGACGAAAAATCCAACATTCGCGGCCTAAGAATTGTGATGAGGCAGTCGACACACAGTCTCTGACTGTGTGCGACTTCTGTCGAACTCTCTACTTTGGCAGAGAGGAATCCAGACGAAGCTTTGCCGAAGGGCAAATTTTCGTCCGGGGAGGTAGACAGATACCGAACCAGCTTATGCGGGTTCTAAGGGATTATTTTTTGATCGAGCCTCCGGGCTCGAAGGAACCCACGTTAAACTCGTCCTTGTGGCACATACATTCCTCGTAGGGGGGACTGTTAAATATCGGCCTGACGATTGCGTTTAGCATAAAACAGCCTGTCGCTTCTGAGTGTTGACTTCAATGTTCCCTTTTATATTTATATTTACATACGCTCTATCTCTGATATTGAGCGCTTCATCCCATAAATATAGCACACCTTAAAAACTATTTTTCATATATATATATATATATATATATATATATATATATATATATATATATATATATATAAACATGTTTTATTTAATAATATAGACATATTATGTCTATTTAGTTTTATAATAACCCCTTCTAGTTCTCTAACAAGTTTCTTGATGTTAAGATAAAATTCTTCAAGGAAGGTGCCGTCATTTTTTTTCTTAACCAAGCCAAAAAGGAGACTTGAAGCAACAGAAATGTGGTTCTACGGGTATGCTGAGGATACCATGAACTAAACATGTGGGCAAAGACGGAGTTTTAGAGAAAATGGTAAAAAAAAATAGGCATTTATCAGAAAGAGACATTTGAAATTTCTCGGGTACATAATGAGGAAAGAGGGTTTAAGAAATTTGACACTCACAAGACATATTGAAGGCAAGAGGGCCAGGGGAAAAAACATGTAAAAGGTTGGTAGAGCAGAATTTAGGAGAAAGGACTAGAAACTGTGGAGAGTCATAATCGTCAACATACTGAAGTCACATGGAAGAAGACACGACATACTACGAAATGT